AAACTGATGGAACAGGTTTGACTAATTACAGAGTAAACAACTCACTCATTTGGTCAACACCACTTTCAGGCATGTCCCAATCAATGTGAACTTCAAATGACTAGAAATGATCTGTGAGCGAGCACTCAGCTGGGTTAAACTGAAGCTGCATCTCTGTGACTGTGACCATCATTACACCAGCAATGTGTACCAAAAAGAGTGACTACAATGATGATAATAGTAATAAATATATATAAAAAAGTTAGATAGAATGGATTTAATATAAACATATATATATATATATATATATATATATATATATATATTGTACTGTATATATATATATATATATACACACACACACATATGCATGAATGCATGAATTAACTAAAGAATGAATGAATGAATGAATGAATGAATGAATGAATAGCAGAGAAGGGGCTTTTTTCCTGAAATCCAGGCCACTGGTATGAAATACTGCAAATAATACCTTGCATATTGTATGTAAAACCCAGCTCACAGCTAATGAAAGGGATGAAAGGCAGCAATGTCACAAAATCAAGCTTTGATTCATACCCCAAATATGTTTCACAGATCCTCCATCACATTAGTCATTATCGAAAATGTCAGCTGGAACTTGGGCAAATCTGTGGGTGCCTGTTGACTCATGCATTAGCATTGTCCCTCTGAGGCTATATTTACACTGTAGTCTGTCTAGATTACTAAAAAAGCAACAACTCCTCACTGTGCCAATGACAACGTGCAAAACAGACTCAGAATTTTCTCAGAAAGCACAGGTCTTCTATGGACAGCACGCGTGGCATACTAGGAGACTTACATTTAACATTTTCACTACACAGTATCATTGTGTGCGAATAATTATGCCATGCTCGCTTGGAGACTACAAAACAACTCCTTGTCTAATCTTAACAATCCAACCATGCAAGCTAAACCTTAATAGAAAAAAAAATGTTAATCTCGGTCAGCAATTATTACAGCATCGAAAACACCCAGACCCGGGAGACTGTCGCTATGCTAACTCCAGATTCCACAGCGAATGACAAAGGTTTAGCAAGCCACAGTCGTTGTGGCCTCCGGTTCTGAATCAGTGCTTTCAGACAAATATTACATCCTCCCTTTGAGACAAAGCTGTTAGAGGATGCGACCCAGTTAAGGCTGCATTGTATTTCAATGTGTGGTCGTTTTCATGAACTAATGACAGACAGAACAACAACACCCGAACTCTGTTTTAATCATTCTCGGGGACTTTAATAAAGCCAATCTCTCCCGTGAACTGCCAAAATACAGACAGAACATCACGTGTCCCACCAGAGACAGTAATATATTGGATCACTGTTACACCACAATAAAGAATGCATATCACTCTGTTCCACGGGCCGCTTTAGGACTCTCGGATCACTGTTTGGTTCATCTTATACCGACCTACAGGCAGAAACTGAAATCAGTTAAACGTATTAAGGACTGTAAAAAGGACTAATGAAGCAGAGCAGGATTTAAAAGCTTGTTTTGACCTCACTGATTGGAGTGTTTTTGAAGCTGCTGCCACCGATCTGGACGAGCTCACAGAGACTGTAACATCTTATATCAGTTTCTGTGAAGATATGTGCATTCCTACCAGGACTCATTTAACCTACAACAACGACAAACCATGGTTCACTGCAAAACTCAGACAGCTCCGTCAGGCCAAAGAAGATGCTCGCAGGAAGGGGGACAATGTCTTGTATAAACAGGCTAAATGCACACTGGAAAAGGAGATCAGAGTGGCAAAGAGGAATTATTCTGAAAAAATAAGGATTCAATTATCTTCCAGTGACTCAGCATCAGTGTGGAAAAGTCTGAAAGAGATCACCAACTACAAGACACCATCCACCAGCACTGTGGATAATCAACAACTGACAGACGATCTGAATGAGTTCGACTGCAGGTTTGAAAAAACACCCCAGACCCGCCCTGAACACCTCTCCACACAACCATTCACACCTCCAGCAACCCCCCTCTCCCCCACACCTGCAATTCAGATAGCGAAGACGA